ATAGAAGAAAAGAACCTGGAGCCCCAGGAGACCAGGCCAAGGGCTCCTCCAGCCCTGGAGTAAACAACGGTGTTGATCCAGAGAGCGAGGCGAAGAGGCGGCTTTGAGGGCAGAGAAGGATGGGAAGAGAAGGGGCTCGAGAAATCAAGGGCCCTTTTGAAGTTGAATTTAAGCCTTTTAAAGTGATTTTGCAGAATAACAGAGCTGGAAGGGGCCTTGGAGGTCATCTAGTCCGGCCCTCTATCCAAGGCAGGAATCCTTATTCCACTTCAAATGGCTGTCCGGTCTCTTCTTAATACCCTCCAGGGTTGGTCAGAGCAGCCACAACTTCTGTTCCACTGAGCAGGGGGTTGGACTAGAAGACCTCCAAAGTCCCTTCCAGCTCTATTCTAATTATTGATTCGTTTCCATCGTTGCTTCTCGTCCTGCTTTCAGACACCTTGCAGGATAAGTTGACGTCCCCTCTGCTTTGTGGCAGCCCTTCAAATACTAGAAGGATGGGCCTCGTTACCATGGCTTTTTATTTTAGATTTAGAAGGTCCAGAGAGAAATAAGAGTCGATAATTGCTGGAGTGAAGCTTAAGAGAGATGTAGGAATTAGAAGCCTTCGTGGGTCACCTAGTGATAATTTGTAGAAGAACCTCTTGAAGGAATAGACATATTCATGGGAAAAGTAACAGGTTCAGGGGCTTTATAGCGGGTTTTATAATTAAGGGACGAAAGACAAAAAAACGTTGACAAAGAACATGAAAATGGGAAAACAAATGGAACTGAATTGGAAAAAAACCCCAAGATAAATGTGAAAATATATATGGGTATCACTATGACAAACAAGAATTGCATGTTATGGAAAGACCCCGAAAGATCCACAGTGGAGGAACAGATGGTGAAGGTAGCAGAAATAGCAGAGAGGACAAAACTGATTTGATTAGAGAAAGTTCAAGTACATTTATGTGACCGGATAGTTTGCTGAATAAAAGAGAAAAATGACCTTGCGATTTATGGCCTTGAAGATTAGAAAGGCTGGCGGAATGAAAGAAATTAAGATATAGCTTTATATATAAATGCATTTATAACCTCAGGCAAAAAGATTGGAAGGCACTTTCTATATACCGTAATCTTTTCTTTTTTCCTTTTCTATTTTCTTTCTTGCTCGCTATGCCTTCTTATTTTTTCTGGATCTTTCCTTCTTGTTATATATTTAATGTTATCTTGTTATATATTTCTACCTTTTCTTCTGCACAACTCTTATTTTATTCACCAGATTAAAATACAAAAAAAAAAAGGATTTAAAAAAAATGTAAAACACAATTAGACAAAAACATTTTTTTCAATGTGCATTAAAAAGACAAAAAACAAAAATGCTTATACATTTCTTCAATAAAATTACATATACATATATACACACACACACACACAAATCCTTCTTTCGGTTTGTATTTCAAGCAAGTTTGTGTGTACACATACAGGCACACAGACAGACAGACAGACAGAGAGATGTGCAAAAGGAATCAAGCCAAACTGTCCCGGGACAGCAACTTTCTTTGCTGTGTGAAAACTTGCCTTGCCACGTTCCCGCTAGATGCCAGCTAGGATTTGGGGGACAACCTGCAGCCTCTTGGGCCGCCCTTCCCCCCCACCGTCATCTCCAATTCAGAGGACCAGGAGAAACCTCCACCCCGAATGCCACAAAACCTGGGGGGGGCCTTAAACTGAAGGCCACGAGCCTTGAAGCACCCCGTCCAGAGGGACCCCCCCACCCCGCGGCCTCCATGCCCGTCCCTCTTCATCACAGCCGAGCAATTCTTCCTCCCTACTCACCCCACAGAAACCCAGAGGCTCCTGAATCGAATCACACCCTTTTCTGCCTGCTGCAAGTCATCCTCATCATAAAAAGCAGTTTTGGGGGCCAACAGGTTAAAACAGCCCCAATATCTGGACGTTTGAAATGTTCCAGTGTGTCCAGGTTGCAGGCCGTCCCTCTTAGTAGTAGCTACAATCCGCTTCGGGGGGGGGAGGCCGCGGGGGGGGGGCCCAGAGGCAAAGCGCTGCATATTTGTGGGTCCGCTTTCAGCATCTCGGGTGGCTCTCTGAGGAGATCTGGAATCGGTTCGGCCACTCCGACCGTTGCGTCCTCTCGCGGCTCTTCCCTCCGGGGACCTTGAGGGAGGGTCTCTCAGCCCCACCCTTCTGGCAGCCGCCTGGGGCCGAGGATTAGGCGTCTTCTTCCCTGCAGCCGCTGGCGTGACCCTCCACCTCGGAGGCAGGAAACTGGCCTTGGCAGAGGGGGCACTCCACCCAGGACCCCCAGGCGGGGGACGGAGAGGCCCTCGCCCCCTCCCCCTCTTCCCCGCAAGTGGAGGCATGGACAGGCAGGAGCTCGGCAGGGAAGCCACCTGGGAAGGGAGAACGCAAAGGGTGGTGACGGGCCCCGAACTCTGCCCACCAGCAGACGCCCCTGGAGGACCCACGTTGGGCCGCTTGGCAGCTGACTCATAGTTACGACGGTTGCAACGTCCTGGAGTCACCTGAACAACCTTTGCAACCTTCTGACCAGCAGAGCCACTTAGGAACTGTGTTGTCAACTTCGCTGCAGTGATTCACCTCACAATATCACTTTAAAACATCTCCAGGCCCCTCACATCCCGGACATAAACTGTTTCAACTCCCACCCTCAAAACGACGCAATCGAGCCCTGCACACCAGGACAACTGGACACAAGGACGGTTCTTTTCCCCCCCCCCGAATGCCATCCCTCTGCTAAACACATAATTCCCTCCACACTGTCCAACTATTTACAAAGTCTGCACTGCTATCCCTATTCTTCTTCTCATCCTTCCTATTACCTATCTCCTCCCACTTATGACTGTAACCGTGTTGCTTGTATCTCTACAATGTATATTGTTTTATTTGTTTCCTAGTATGATTGGATTGCTTATTACTAACTTATGACTATCATTAAATGTTGTATCTTATGATTCTTGGTGAATGTATTTTATTTTTTCTTTATGTACTCTGAGAGCTTTTGCACCAAAGACAAATTCCTTGTGTGTCCAACCCCACTTGGCCAATAAAAAGAATTCTATCCTATTCCA